AAATGTACTTTTTATTTTAAATTATCTTTTTATAAATAATAAAATACCCATTTTACTTAGTAAACATGTTTCCAGTTATGAACAAAAGATACTTTTGCTTTAGGAAAATTGGTGGAATATTACATTGGTCCAGTTTGTTCCATTAGTGCTTTGATTAGTTGATCGAGCGATTAATTTCTCGATTAGAGTTTGGAGTATTTTGACATAGTACAATAGTCCTGGCAACAATTAGAGTTTATAGTATTTTGAAAAAATAACAAATAAGAGTCAACGTGTTATACTATGTAAATGAATTTTCAGATTTATTTATTTTTTCGTTTTTACATGAAAGTAACTTTAATAATATAAATTTTTTGAGCTCAAAGGAAGGAATGATTTTTAACTAGCTAACCTACTCTATGTTAACTTTATTTTAAACTTATTGCTCTTTTTAATTTCGAGCAAAAAGAGAAGGTAATAAGTATATACCATAGAAAGAAACAAAACAGGTATCATCACATTAATAATTTTCATAAAAAGAGATAAACACTAGAAAAAAGGGGGAAAATGAATTTTGTCAATATAACTGGAAAATAAGAGAGAAGAAAAATACTAGAACGGAAAATGAAAGATTTTTGCCAATTATCGTTGTGCATTTAAAAAAAAATTAAAATTAAATAATTAAAGCGGGTTCAATAAAATAATTAAAATGGATATATTACTATTTCTTAAAATTTTAGTTTGAAATAAAATTTATTTAAATTGGTTGAATGACATTTGGGTTATAAAAATAAAATTTAGTGACTTTCTGAATGAAATATCAATAAATGAGTGACTTTTGGGTTATAAAATAGAGTTGAATGACTTTCTAAGTGAACTATTTAAAGTTGAATGACTTTCTGAGTGAATTATTCAAAGTTGAGTGATCATATTGTTACCTCCTGTATTCAGATTAGCAAACCCGAAATAATAAAAAAATCAAAAGAAAAATAAAAGAACTATTCGAGTCCACAGAACTCACTCTGTGTCCTTAAGAAATTTAATCCCTCAAGTACCTGAGGTTGTAGATTAATTCCTCCCAAGACAAAATAGATAAACCATTAAAAAAGTAGGGGTACCTCAAACTTCAATAATTTCAACGAACTCAAAATGACAACAACGAATCACACACAGAAACATGATCGATCAATTTTGTTTTGTAATAAATGTATACAAAAGAAGGAAAGAATTAAGTGCAGACAAAATGAGAGAAAGCCTCGCTATTTATAGTCAACAAAGGGTAAATGTCACAACTCTTTGGAAAGAAAACAACCTTTCAGAAATGTCACAACACTTTGGAAAAGGCACAACCAGTGTTTTAAAAGGCGGGGGCGTGAGACGAGGCGTTTTACTTAGTATCACCACAAGAAATTATGGAATTAGCGACAACTTTTTAGCAACAACTATATTATTGTTGGCTTATATTGATAAATCACAACAACTTGATTTAATTGTTGGTATATTGTTTAATTTTTAACCACAATATTTTTGTTGTTGCCAAATATGTTGGTATTGTTGCGATATTATATTGTTAATAATAATCATATATATATAGAAAGGAGAAACATAGACAAGGTGATGTGGCACCTCTTTATGGCCTCCATTCCTATTTATCTTTTTTCTTCTTTTTTTGGCTTTTTTTTTCATTTTCTTTTTCATTAAATAATTTGTTTATTAATTAAAAAATTCAATCATATTTACTCTTCTAATTATATCTAATAAGTTACGAACAAAACCTCCATCTATTTACATTCCCTACTTAAATAATATGTCTCTTCAACTTATTTCTAATTATTCTTATGGTTTACACAATCTATAAATAACAATTATCAATGTTCAATGTTCAATGTTCATTTTCATTTTCTCATTCTTTCTTTTTATTAGTATAGCTTTTTCCCTCATTTATTTTTTTTCTTCATCTTTTTTATCAATCATGTACTTAATAATGTCACCATATGGTCTTCATTTTTGATAAAGATCATAGATATATTCTTCAAGAATAATCACATGGATGTTCACATTAGTTTGGTACAAGTTCATCAAAATGAGAAGGAAGATTTCATCAAGAAGATGGTCATATTAGCACAAAAGTTTGAATGATTTCCAAATATTTTGAGACTCATTCATGTATTGTTTGATTTCAATTAATATTATTCTATTCTTTTTTATTTTATTTTGATTAGATATATAATTTCATGTTATTTAACAAAAATTAAATTATGAAACTCTACTAATCATCATATTAGAAATCTCAATTAGCATTTTTTACTCATTTTACTTTGTTCTTCTTCTTCTTATTATTATTATGTGAATGAATGAAGATGAAACATTATACGATTTTATTTTTGTGTATAT